AGGGATGGACACTGATATGGAGGGATGGACACTGATATGGAGGGATGGACACTAATGGGAAGGGATGGACACTGATGTTCTCTCTCCTCTTCCCTCCCTGCAGACCGATGCCACCTCAAAGGTGAGTGAGGGACACCCCACGGACCCCTGGCACTGCTTGTGGGGGGTGGCCTTTGGTTCAGCCTCAGATTGGGAACCAGGGGACCTGGGATTAAATTTCCAGCTTCCCAGAAGCTCCTGGGTGAGCAGGACACAGTCCCCCTGGGTACCCCACCAACAGCAGGGCTTGGGCACCTGTGTCCAAAGGAATGGAGGACGTGGGTTTTCCAGCCCAAGAGTTTTCCAATATCACTGCTACTTCCAGCTCTTGCTGTGCTGCCCAATTCTCTGGATATGGGTCAGTGGAGCCCCAAGGAATTGTGTTTACATCCATTCCTGCTGCTTGGGCTTGTGGGCTGCATCCATCCATGTATCCATCCATCCACTGTGCTGGAATGAAGTTGTCCCTCATCCCCAGCCAGTCTTCTGTGTTAGTCACTGCTCTGACCCTCTGACACTATTTTGGGTTCTCACTTTGCAACTGCCACCACAAAGAGTTGACTGTGCCCCAAAATGTCTCAGTGTAACTCAATCCCTGGAGCTCAGCTCTCTGAGGAGATAAAACAGGGCTGGTCTGTGGTTCCTAAAGGGAAGGGTTTGGCACATCCTGGCAGCCAAAATCATCTCCCTTCCCCAAACTGGGGGTTTTGTCTGTGCTGCCCACTGAGAACAATCCTGGAGAGGGACTTAGGACAAAGGATGGAGGGACAGGACACAGGGAATGGCTTCCCACTGCCAAAGGGCAGGGATAGGTGGGATACTGGGAAGGAATTGTTGGCTGTGAGGGTGGGGAGGCCCTGGCAGAGGTTGCCCAGAGAAGCTGTGGCTGCCCCTGGATCCCTGGAAGTGTCCAAGGCCAGGTTGAAGCAACCTGGTCTGGTGGAAAGGCAGGACAAGATGATCTTTAAGGTCCCTTCCAGCTCAACCATTCCATAATTCCATGACTCATGAATCTCCAGGATGGGAACAGGCTCCATATGGGGTTGGTTGAGCTGGTGATATCTCTTGGTGGTGCACAAACCACCTTGGCTGTTTGGAAGTGTCCCTGGGCAACATCATTCCCACTGTTGGTCACTGCCTGGTGTCACCACATGTCCTGTCAGGGTTCTCGGGGTCCACCAAAGGAAAAACCATCTCAAACCAGTGCAATCTGTGGTTTAACCTTGGCAAGGGGACATGGGTGACCACGGCAGTGCCAGTGCCAGGTGCCCTCTGGTCTCAGGGACAGCAGCTGCTCTGTCTGCCCTGAGCCGTGGGAGGTTGGTTGTGGTGGAGGTGGTGGGTGGTTGGTGTTTGCACTCAAAGAGTTGTCTCCTTCTTCTTCTTCTCCTCACTCCAGGCCAGTCCCAGCCATCAAACTCCAATCGACCTCCATCCCCTCCAAGAAGTGACAATCCAAGGCCACCTGAAGCCTGTCCTTGCTGAGCTGGCTCTCCTGATTTGCACTGCTCTGCCCACAGGGGTCCTTCATTCCCCTCCTTTTATTTGTCTTTTGATACCAGAGGACTATTTTTATAAGACAGAATTTGTATTCAGCACAAAAACTGGGGGGTGGGGAGAGGGGAAACTGGTACTATGACTTCAGTGAAGGTTGGAGGTGGGGTTTCCACGGTGGACATTCCATCCCGGCATCGCTTCCCGGCCAATTCGCCTCCCACCTTTGGTTTCTCCCTGACGTTGCACATGGACTGGGCTGGGGGGGGGCACGAGGACATCCAACACTGATGGAAGATGCTGGTGACAGTGTAAGGTCCTTCTAGCTACCTCCTCCTTCTCCTCCAGGCCTGGTGAGACAACCCCCCCCATCACCACCACCACCCACTGCCACCAGAGCTTGATGCTGGAGCATCCTCTCCGGGGGGAGACATTTGCCATGAGAGAAACACGATTTCCAGCTTGGATTGGGACATTTCCATGAAGGATCCAAGTTCTCAGGCTCCTCCTGCCCCTCCTGCCCGATTGCACGAGGTGACAACCCTGGGGTCACCTGGAAGGAGCAGCCTCCTGGGAAGTGTTTCAACGCCTCAAGTGCTGGTGGCAGCGGGTCACCAGGGTGCTTTCAGGGGGCTCAGGAGCCCCCCCATAAACGTTGCCTGTTCCCTGCTTGTGGGCCAAGCCCACCAGTGGCTCCGGGAGCTGCTGACACTCTGCTGTCCCAACGGGATGAGGAGCAGGAAAACCTCCTGCCCGTGCCATTGGCTTGTCCAGAGGCCTCGGCCGAGCCGCTGCATTTCTCTGTGCCTCAGTTCCCCCCACGTGGAAAGAGGGGGGGTGATAACCTACCTCACAGGGGTGTTGTGAGGTTGAACAAACTCATGTCTTGAAAGGGCTTTACAATCCTCAGATCAAAGGTGCTGTTGACCTTGCACAGTTTTTGTGCCACTTTTCCTTGTGACTTGACACGCGGCTCTATCAAGGGTCTGAAACGAGAACAAAGACTTTCTACAGTCCCCTGGCTCCTCTGGCTCTTTTCTTGCTCAGAAGTTCCCTGAACCCTCTAGACACCAAGATCTCCAGGTCTTCCATGACCTGCAAACAGATCCCAGCAGTCCCTTAAACCTGGGATGGTTCAGTCCATCCGTGTGTCCCATATCAACGACACTGGGGTAGATCCCACCTGACCTGGGACAGATCTCTTGGAGATGTGTCCAGCCGTGGTGTAGGTTCAGGGAAAACCCTGAGGAAGCTGTTCTGGTGTTTCATTATCCCCAGGTTGGGCTTAAAGGCCACCTTAAACCCTAGCTGTCCTTACTCTCATGATCAGGCTTTGCTTTGAAGCCTTTGGTCTCGCACGTGGGTCTTCCCTGAAGCATCTTCAGGAAGAATTTCTTCATGGAAAGGGTTGTTAAATGTTGGAATGGGCTGCCCAGGGAGGTGGTGGAGTCCCCATCCCTGGAGGTGTTCAAGGAAGGACTGGATGTGGCACTCAGTGCTCTGGGCTGGGGGACAAGGTGGGATCAGGCACAGGGACCTTGGAAGGCTTTTCCAACCTTAATGATCCTGGGATCTCTGGTGCCTCCATGTTTTTCTTGCTTCACAGATATCCATGTGGGATCTTGCATCCAACATCTCCTCTTACTTTAATAACAAGTCACAAAACCACTTGAGTCATTTGAGTTGAAAGGGACCTCTCGAGATCGTCCTCACACGAGCTCCAGAGGTGAATGAGCTGATCCCTGAACATTCCCAAGGTCCCGTTGGTTTTAATGATCTCCCGAGGAATTCTGACACGATCAGAACCTTTGGAGCTGCTGGAGAGGGAAAAACCTGCTCCTTTCCCGGGCACCCCCTCCCTTCTGCTGCCCACTGTGCCAGCAGAGGCTCAAACAGCTGGAGAGGGTTTGGAGAAGCCACTGCAGGATGAAGTGCTTGGAAAAACCTTTTTGGCCACATGTTGGACCGTTTAACTCCATGACAAAGTGAGGGATGACAGGTCAAAAAACCAGCAAGGTTTTTTGGATGGTCTCCTCCAGCTGATGCAGAGTTTTGGGTTCTTGCCCACCCAAAACTTGGCCACCACACTCCCCTTCATCTCCTCCTGCTGCCAGTGGGGAAGGTTCAGCCACTCCATCTGCCCAAAATTCACCAGCAGGGTAGAACTAGGACACACATCTGAGGGGGAATCTGAGCTCTTCAGGTGAGAAAGGAATGAGAGAAAGGAATCAATAAAAACCCACAGGTTTGGACTCAGGGCTGCTGCAAAGATCTGGGGCTCTGCTCAGTGTGACACAATAAGTACTCAAAGGTATTTCCACCCTTCTCAAAGAAGCCCTTTCTCTGCCTGGGATGTCCTTGCACATCCCCAGCAGGTTTTTCTTGGGGGTAGATTGTGCTGGGCTGTGTGGTGCAAAAGGATCCATGACGTCCCTTCTCCTCAGGCAGAGAGAGCAGCAGTGCTGGTAACAAACCCTCCCAGTCCAACCCAGCTCCAGTGCTCCAAACAGGCTCCCTGTTTGCAGCAGGGATATGAGAGGATGGTAATTTGGGGGTGATACCCGACAGTCTCTTTGCTGGCTTTGTGGATCCCGAGGTGGTCCCAAGGTGTGCAGATGGGTGATGTCCACCCTGATGCAGCCTGTGGTCCACGGGACAGGCAGGATTTGAAGCCTGGTAAGAGAAATTCCTGGATCCAGGGAGGGGTTTGGGATGTCCAGGTGGCACTAGATGGCAGCAGATGACCACGAATCCTCTGCTCAGCCTCTGCTTGGAATTGCTGGGATTTCCATGGAGCGGGTCCTCAAGTGCAGCTCTTCTCCTTGGTCTTTCTCCTCTGGTCCATCATCTACAAATCCATTTAAAGCATCAGCTGGATCTGAAAGCTGCTGAGTGTTCCTGGGGACTCTTTGAGCTTCCACGTGGTTTCCCAGTGAACCTTTCCTTGTCATAAAAGGGGGGAATGTGTGAAAGGCTAAGGGAGCTGAGGGTGTTCAGCTGGAGAAGAGAAGGCTCCAGGGAGAGCTGAGAGCCCCTTGCAGGGCCTGAAGGGGCTCCAGGAGAGCTGGAGAGGGACTGGGGACAAGGCGTGGAGGGACAGGACACAGGGAATGGCTCCTCACTGGAAAAGAGGAGATTTAAATGGGATATTGGGAAGGAATTGTTGGCTGGGAGGGTGGGGAGGCCCCAGCACAGGTTGGGCAGAGAAGCTGTGGTTGCCCCTGGATCCCTGGAAGTGTCCAAGGCCAGGTTGGAGCAACCTGGTCTAGTGGAAGGTGTCCCTGCCCATGGCAGGGGGTGGGACTGGATACTCTTTAAGGTCCCTTCATCCCAAACCATTCTGTCATCCCATGACTCTGTGACTGCCCCTCCTTGGCCGTCTCAGGGGGTCACTGTCACCCACCACACTCCAGTGGAGTCACCAGTCCCTCCTCTGTCCCCTCTGTGCCCTGTCCTGACCCACAGCAGCTCCCTGGGCTTCTGACACCCTTGGACTCCTCAGGGTTTTCCTTGTGGGATGTGGAAGAAGGGCCAAGTGAAGAAGGGAATGTGATGAGTCTCCGGTGAGGGAGTGGCTTCCACGAGCTTCAGAAATGGAGGGGAATTTTCTGGAGCACATTGACGAGGTCACTTTGGGAGGAGAAGTGTCCTCCCTGGCTCCCTGGAGCCTGAGTTTTGAGGGGCAGCAGCTTTGCTGGGGGTGTCCTGGCCCTAGACAGGCTCTGTCCCCTGGGGTGCAGGATGAGGGGACATTTCTAGAGCAAAATGTAAAACCATCTCATGGAATCCTGGAATCTCCTGAGCTGGATCCGCAAGGATCGAGTCCAGCTCCTCACAGGACACCCCAACAATCCCACCCTGTCCCTCAGAGCGTTGCCCAAACACTGCTTGGACAATTCCTTTTATTTTTTTCCTCATCCTTCTTAAAATTTATTTGATCTTTTTATTTTCCTCCTTTCTGCTGCATCCTGGAATGGGAGGGATGAGGGGGATGAACACCTGGAATGGCACCACACAGGCAGGTAACACATCCATGGGCACAGAGAAATGCCAGCAGATAGATCCATGCACAGAGCCAAGGGGAAAAAAATCATAGAAAAAAAGGGGAAAAAAGCAATGAAGCAATTAATGAAGAGGCTCCTGCAGCTGAGGAAGTCGAAGCATTTATCACCTTCCAGCTCCTGCTCTTTCTTTTGCTGTATCTGTCTTTGGCAGATGAGGATCCCTCTTTCCATCCATCCCTCCCTCCCACCCAGGGCCGAGAGATCCCTCCTCGGAGCCGAGAAGGGGCCTGTTGAAAATGAAAATACAAAGCACAGCTTGACTTTAGTTCTCTGCATCCACTTCTACCCATCCAGAGCGAGGAGGGAAAAACACATCAATGATATTAAACACACCCACACGACGAAGACTGAGGTCCTGGGGAGGCTGTTGCTGAAGTGTTGCCTGGAGCTGATGCCTTATCTCTCTAATTTTCAAGTGTTTCTCTCAGCTGTGAGTGTCTTTCAAGTCTCAGTGCTGTGAAGTTCAAAGTGAGAGTGAGGAAGCAGCACTTCTGTGCCAGCTCTGCCTCCACAACCTTCTCTTCTCGTTCAAATCCTCGCTCGGAGAAAGAAAGGAAGGAATCGGTGAGCTTGGACAACGTCTGGAGCTGGGGCTTCCTGAGGATGTGGAGTCTTGGGGGAAAGGAGCAGCTTCTGGAGTCCACAGGGGTTTGGAGAGCAAAGGTGAGTGAAGGCAGGGATGTGTCTGGAGAAAAGAGAGACTCCTGGAGAGCAGAGGGGTCCCTGAAGAGCAAAGAGATCCCTGGAGAGTAGAGGGGTCCCTGGAGAGAAGAGAAATCCCTGGAGACTACAGAGATCCCAGGAGAGCAGAGGGGTTCCTGGAGAGCAGAGAGATTCCCAGAGAGCAGAGGAGTCCCTGGAGAGCAGAGAGATCCCTGGGGAGCAAAGAGATCCCTGGAGAGCAGAGAGATCCTTGGAGACTAGAGAGATCCCTGGAGAGCAGAGACCACTGGAGAGCAGAGAGATACTTGGAGAAAAGAGGGGTCCCTGAAGAGCAGAGATCCCTGGAGACAAGAGATCCCTGGAGAGCAGAGGAGTCCCTGGAGAGCAGAGAGATCCCTGAGGAGCAGAGAGATCCTTGGAGAGCAAAGAGGTCCCTGGAGAGCAGAGAGGTCCCTGGAGGGCAAAGAAATCCCTGGAGAACAGAGGGGTCCCTGGAGAGCACAGAGATCCCTGGAGAGCACAGACATTCCCAGAGAGCAGAGGAGTCCCTGGAGAGCAGAGAGATCCCTGAGGAGTAGAGAGATCCTTGGAGAGCAAAGAGGTCCCTGGAGAGCAGAGGGATCCTTAGAGAGCAGAGGGCTTCCTGGAGAACAGAGGGGTCCCTGGAAAGCACAGAGATCCCTGGAGAGCAGAGAGATCCCTGGAGAGTACAAAGATCCCTGGAGATCAGAGAGATCCCTGGAGATCAAAGAAGTCCCTGGAGAGTAGAGAGATCCCTGGAGAGCACAGAGATTCCTGGAGAGCAGAGGCGTCCCTGGAGAGCACAGACATTCCCAGAGAACAGAGGAGTCTCTGCAGACCAGAGAGATCCCTGGAGAGCAGAGATATCCTTGGAGAGCAGAGAGATCCCTGGAGATCAAAGAAATCCCTGGAGAGCAGAGATCCCTGGAAAGCAAAGAGATCCCTGGAGAGCAAAGAGATCCCTGGAGAGCAGAGAGACCCCTGGAGAGTACAGAGGTCCCTGGAGAGCAGAGGGGTCCCTGGAGAGCAGAGAGCACACACAACATTCCCGGTTTGGATCCAGACGCTCAGCTGAGATCACAGAATCATGGAATGGTTTGGGTTGGAAATGATCTTAAAGGACCACCTTAACCCATCCCCCTGCCATGGCAGGGACACCTTCCACTAGCCCAGGTTGCTCCAGCCTGGCCTTGGACACTTCCAGGGATGGGGCAGCCACAGCTTCTCTGGACAACCTGTGCCAGGGCCTCCCCACCCTCATCATATAA